CAACACATACTACCAACTGTGTCTCATTACATACACAAGAACAATATCAACACATACTACCAACTGTGTCTCTCATTACATAGACAATACAGAAATGAATGTATTAATAAATCTAAATACACTAAAGTGCTAGTTAATATGAAGATTGTAAATAATCTTTTTATTCAGCTTTAAAAACTAGGGGTTTCATAATTTGTACTTTTTTTACTTCACAAACTACAGTACAATTCATCCTGTATTTTGATGCAAGGCACTACCATGAGAACAAATCTCACCTGAATCCCTCCTTCATTCAGTGCTCGAGCTCCATAACCAATTCGTTTACCTCCTTCTAAGACTGGTCGTATGTGTGGGTGAAGTTTAAACCTCTGAAATTCTCTGTATGGACTCAGGTAAGGGTTCTTGTAATCCAAGCCAAGTACAAAACCTATTGATATCAGTGGCTGTTCTTCATTTAAATGATAAAGAAAAGATCCTCCATAGACTGTTCTTTCCTTTAAACCAAAACACCCAAACGTCAGACAAGGAGTTATCTTTAAAACAAGGTACAACATCAAACGAGGAGTAATTCTTTAAAACAACCTATACAATGTTATACATGAAATATTATTTAAAACAGTGTACAACATCAGACAAGGAGTAACCTTTAAAACAATGTACATTAATTGAGGCAGATATAACTTTTTTTAATTACTGATTACCCATGCTGTGCTTAAGATTGAAAAAAACTAACAGTAGTGAAATGCACCACTGATTAACAACTGAATAACTCTTTGTCAAGCTTATTGAACCAGGGGTGTACATTTTTTGGAAGGTTTATTCAATCTACATATAGGACAAAATCAAAACAACTACATGATGGTCCAACATTTAGATCACGTCGTCCTTTTCCAGTGTATGTAGGAAAAAAAAAAGGCCACTGAATTCTGAGTGGGTAGTTGGAATCATTTCATCCAAGCTCCACAGTTGTATCAATAAAACTTTCTATTAAAAATAACTATTGTAATCTTAATATAAAATAATCAGATAAAGTAGAAAGTATTATAGATATGAAACTAAGTAATTGGACATTTTTAACTTACAAGTCATGTTTGTTTATTAGGCCTATGATGTATTGTCTATAATTGATAAACAGGCTACCAATCTTATCAGTGATATTTAATGATTTGAAAGAGAAAGTAACAGGTAAAATTACTGTAAATTTTAATAATTGAATATTACTAGGGATGCACAGGTACCCAGCCAGATATTCGGACCCTGCCGAGTGTCAAAGTTAGGCATCAAGCCCTAATCTCTGTGGCAACTAATGCGGTACTGAAATCAGTAATTGATTTAGTTATAAAAAAGTGTTTTCCGAGCAACAAAAACTGACTGCCAGGGATTCAGAGAACAACAGGGGTTACTAACAGGCATGGCTTAAGAAGTGGATTTATGGGGAAGGTGGAGGTTTGAGAAGTTAGGGCTAGGCAATGAAAGTTGAAAATAAAACTTGTTGTGTTGGTGATTATTCAGTTAAATATAATAAATGTCAACTGTGTTTTTGTTTTTAATTTTTGTGTATGTTGTTCTAGTTGTTTTTTTTGGGGGGGGGGGGCAAGGGAAGAACCTGGTTCCAGCCGAAGCTTAGTGACCGGGTACCCGGACCCGGTATTTGGCCAAATTTTACTACTCGTGCATCCCTAAATATTACGCATATGCATTCATTTCATGTAAGCACAACTGTTCTAGCACCAGACTAGTACATATGGAATTCACCGTAACACAAACTCAAAATCTGGTAGCCATGGGCAACAGACTAGCAGAATGTAACAAAGTAATATTCTGCCAAGTTTATCATAAACCGAGAGGATTCTGTACAGCTATATAGCAATCAGAAGATTAAACGTTGTAAAAAATCTGGTAGCCATGGGCAACAGACTAGCAGAATGTAACAAAGTAATATTCTGCCAAGTTTATCATAAACCGAGAGGATTCTGATTGCTATATAGCTGTACAGAAGATTAAACGTTGTAACAGAAGATTAAACGTTGTAACTATATATTGTGACACTCACGATTGCTATATAGCTGTACAGAAGATTAAATGTTGTAACTATATATTGTGACACTCACCTTTGAACTTGACCCATGCCAAAAATAATTATATGAGCTTTAAAAACATTAATGTTTGTATGGATTACTTTATATAAGTTTAAGTTAAACTTTTGTCACAAAGACACTGAAAGGAAAACAGAGAGAAATGTTCTCTGATGACACTTCTGGAAAACACATGTAACTACAGTCTACAGCAGTAAGTATCTTCAAAAAAGTGGCAAAATCAGAAAAGTTAGGAATTTCTTACGAGAGGCCATCCAACTGTATGTTCCACTCGTCCAGGGACATGCTTAGCTGGATCTATTTCCCACAGTTCTTTCAAACCAATACCAAAAGTCTGGGGTTCACACTTCTCCCTCAAGTTGAATCTTCTATACAACTGTTTGGCTAAATGACCGTGACAACCTTCGGCAAAAATTGTACACCTGGCATGAAGTTCCATCCCTCTTTCAAAAGTTCCCTGGGAGTTCGATCGCCATCATACAAGTATAATTATGAGAACCAGAAACTAAGCATGGCATTCAAACAAGCAGATAACTAACATACAGATTCATATTTATCTAATGAATTATGGATTAACTTATTTCAGTTTGACAATACTATAAAACATTTAAACAATACCCATGTTAAAACAGTAATAGTGTTGAACCATGCAACTGAAAGATGGGGATGGCTGGAATAACCTTGTGCTTTCAACAGCAAGGCTTAATTTGATCACTAACATATCAAAGTATATAACATATAATGGGGCTGTTAGCACAATGCTTGGATTGAGTGGTCGATCGGACAGGCACGGTTATTTGAGGCTCAACTTATTCTGGTGTGAAAACAGGATTTACTTTTAAATTTTCTGTATCCTACAATAATCTCCATGAAGATGAAACAAGAGAGTTAGGTTGGCTAACTTTTAACTACAGACGTATGACAATATTCCAATCTTACTAACAGTCTAATTCTCAATCAAAATTGTGTTTAAAGTCCCAAAAACTATTTCATGTTGTTCACCTGTCTAACAAAGAATTATTTATAGATAGGCCCAATAAAATAATTAAAACTTGATAGGCCAATAAAAATAATTAAAAATTGAGATGTCTTTAATTGTTACAAATGAGTTGAATGACCAGCTGTTATTAATGTCTGATAATATGTGATTTTTATTCACCTTGGGTGATCCATCTTTAGCAATTCCAACATCATTGGTAGCAATCCCTTTGACACTTCCATCGGCATGAAATAAAACCTAAGAAAGACAATCTTTTTTAACATTCAGTGACTGTTTTGTGATGTTGTACATAGTATATGACATATCCTAACTCCTGCTCCGTAACCTTAGACAGAAACAGGCTTGTGAATACATGTTTAACACTTACAGTGATGTCATTTCAACATTATATTACAAAATATATTCTGATAATGTATTAAATCAGTGATAAACCACATGAAAATGTATTTCCAATAATACTTACCTCTGCTGACACCTATTCCCCAACCTTCAGGTTTTCAACTATGCCCATCTAAGCTTTGGTCTTGCTTGCTCCAGTCTTTTATACTCCACTTAAATGGCCTTGGCGATATTTGTCTCGTGATATTCTCCACTTACGTCAATGTGCTCTCTATCCTGGTACTGTATATATGCACCTCACTCAGACAATTTAATCACTTTTTCACATCACTAACACTGGCTCTTAGTGGGAAGGAAGGGTGAGAGAGTGTCAGCAGAGGTAAGTATTATTGGAAATACATTTTCAATTTAGGAAAATGTTAACTTCCAAAACACTTATAGATAGAATCCCACATTGAGAAGGTGGAGGGGCTGGTGAGGGCATTATCCATACAGAATAATACCAAGATAAGAGTGGTACCCAAGTAGGGGAACCACACTACATCAAGAGCAGGTGTGCTCGTCACCCAGAAATCAAGTGCAGAAAAAAAGGGTGGAATAGTACAGGAGTGGTCATCACTATAGGCCAGCCCCAACCACACAGCCGAGGTTCCACTACTCAGGGTTGGAATTAATGCAGAAAAAAGGGTGGAAAAGTACAGGAGTGGTCATCACTATAGGCCAGCCCCAACCACACAGCCGAGGTTCCACTACTCAGGGTTGGAATTAATGCAGAAAAAGGGTGGAAAAGTACAGGAGTGGTCATCACTATAGGCCAGCCCCAACCACACAGCCGAGGTTCCACTACTCAGGGTTGGAATTAATGCAGAAAAAGGGTAGGAATAGTACAGGAGTGGTCATCACTATAGGCCAGCCCCAACCACACAGCCGAGGTTCCACTACTCAGGGTTGGAATTAAGGGGTCATGGTTCCTATATCTCATGTTGGTGACTAGGGTAATTGGACCACAACATTAGATAAAAAGATTATAGAAAGAATCCCAAACCACCGGAATCACGGCGAGAAAGTGGACAAACCTTCTCCTCCACCTGACAGAAGCTCGAACGGCAACATCCCAGGCTCATAATGATGGGATTGTGTATGTTGTACCCAACCAAAGGAACAGAACTCATCGAATCTTGAATTATGAACATGTATCCTCACTCACCAACTGAGTGGGCAAGGAGCATTCCACTTGCCCCTGGAATTATGGGGAGGATGTGGAACCATTGTGCTCAACCAATGCTCCAGGATGGAACCACTCTGCATTTGGAATTATGAGGAGATAGTAGACCTCCTTCAATGAACAATAATGTGAACATAAATTGCTCATAAAGTAGGGCCAGGTATGCCTCAATCAGATAGCTGAGTGTCAAATCTGTACTAGTATTACAAGTAGGCTCCCACATAGGCTGGTGTAGCTCCTACCTACAACTGGGAAAACATCCAGGGTCCTGGGCAGGAGAACCCCAACTTCACCCTCTTTTCCAAGAGTGGAGGAATTCACTCTAACACTATGGAGGACAACCTCTGTCCACCACCTCAGCCATTGGATACTGGGTGTGGTTAGGATTCCCTGGCTCCATTAGTAGAATCTGGGGGGAGGGGGGTAAATATGTATTGGAACTCTGGAAACAGTGCAATAGGTGAACCAAGTTCCCTAATTTTTTAAAAGTCGGCCCTGATTTATTCAACCCGATGATCAGCAAGGACGGGCAGGATCCCCTTTAGCTTTACTCATGATAGTCCATGAGTGGCCTTATGGAACACCTCATTTCTACAGAGCGTGTTGCAACCAGGAGTAATAATAGTGAAATAGTGGTTGCTAGTGTGGAAGTGTAATGAGAAAAGCATACCTGCCTGGGCAACATTTGCCACAGAGTGGGAGCCAGTGAAAAAAGATAAGAGACCCTGGAAAAAGAAAACCAGCAGGAGGGAAGAGAAAAAGAAAAAAAAAACTCACCCCTCATTATAATCTAGCAGATGTGGTCAACAGAGCCACCAGGGGAAGGTGAAAACCCTCAAAAGTCGAAACTGCCAGATGATGTAAATAATGGGAGAGAAAAGTATTGGGAGATGTCCTCCAGCGGGTATTTTAAATCAGATAAAATATGACGATTGTGCTGAGATGTGACTTGCAGCATATTCCTTGCCTGTAACGATCAATATAGATCAATTAGTGAAGCCACTTCAACAAGGTAAACAGGGGATAAATCGCAGGAAACCGAAAGATCCCAATGAATAAAAAGTTGATTTCTGGCACCACGAAAGGATCTAGTGTGAGCCACATAACACCTGTCTGCTCCCTTCGTAGCTTGGAGGCGGATGGGATTCAGCTAAGCCTGACTCATTACATGTTGAAAAAGACCCCCAGATGGACAATGTATTTAGTCAGCAATAGAATGGATTTCTCTGTTCTGATAAGAAACCCAGCCTTGGTGGCCTCCGAAAGGAAAATCTGGGTGTGCTGTTCTGCCATCTGAAGAGATGGTGCTAGAAGTAACCAGTCGTCCATATGATGATGTGTGCACAGGCCCAAAGAATGAAGGTGATGTACCACTCTGCAGAAGACATATGTAGTGTAGAGCCCTGAACTGCAGAATTAGACGTAGAAATCAGCAGGAAGACTACGGGAATGTGAAGGTATGTATTGGAAATATCAAACTTGGTGATCCAGGCTGAGAAAGGAATCCCTGGTGAACCAAGTAAGATCCAAGAATTTGTTGAGACAAGAATGATCAATGATTGGACGTCAATCTCCCGTTATTTGGGGCACAACAAAGAGATGGGAATAAAATCCCAAAAGAATGGGATCGACTCCCTCGATAAACAAGTCCCTTACAGCTCTGGAATGAAGAGCCACACTCTGTGGATATGTTGAAGGAGGAAAAGCCACAGGTAGGGAGGATAAAGGAGGTGGAGATTTGAACTGAATGACCAAGCCTGATGCCAGAACCTGAATGACCCATGGATCTGTGGCAAAGGAAATCCAGATTTCTAGAAAATGATGTAACCGCATACCCACAGACCCTACCGGGATAGGACAGTCACTGATCTTGTTGCTGCCGGTCCTGAGAGGAGGAGGAGCCACGAGGATAAGGATGGAATCTATTGTGAGTACCAATAGATCAAGGAACTGAAGGCAGGGGTCGGGACACCCGATGAACAGACACACCTAGACTATCAGCAGGAAAGAAAGTCGAGAGGACAATGATGACAATGAAGAATGTAAAAGGGCAACATTAATCCTCGATTCCAATGCCTCTGGAATACCTACAAACAACAATGGACAAAGAAAAGGAGCCTCCTGTAATTCACGGAGAGCAGCAGCAGGTAGATGAACCACCTCCAACAAGGCATCTCTACCCAATAAGTCCCAACAACACACAAGCCAGGAAACCAAAGAGAGAGCAGAAGCTGACAATCTGACCATTGTGGAAGTCAGCAAAAGACTCAATTCGTCCACAAATTGAGGTGGGGAACATTGAGAGGCTTCTGACCAAAGTTGGAGAGAATATAAATATCTCATGACAGTAGTGAGGGTCAGACGAATGCGAGAAAATTGTGATCTGTCCAAATTGATTACAGGCTCCAGTTTAGAACCCCACATGTCCAAAAGGGGATCCAGCCTTTCTGAATCGAAATATACGTCTTCCTGGTGGTGATAAGCCAAAGCATGCTGTTCTGACAAATGTGGGGAACAAGGCATAGCTATCCCCTCACATAACTGAGTGGTAAGCCTCCCAGCATGAACAGCAATATCAGGTGAAAGAGGAAAAACTAAGTAGTCCACCCCCCTCCCGACCTTTCCGCCATCTAGGAAGGAGTAGACTCAAAGGCAACCGGGGAAAGCTCCAAAACCTCACAAACCCTAGTGACTTATTGAAGAAAAGAAGCAGGAGGTGGTTGATCCAAATTGGCCTTGTGAGAAGCTGACCTCGTAAAGGAAAGCACCAGAAAAACCGAGTCCAAATTCACCCCAGAATGTCCTGGATCATAAAAAAAACAGCCTCAGAACCCTCTGGAGAGACACACCTTGACCGAATATACGTCTCATCACAATGAATCAAATCATGGACAGCCTCAGCTGTTGAGAGATACTAGATAACAGTGGTGGAATAGGGGAGGTCTGATTAGCCTCCATGCTGGCAACAGTAACATGGGAATTCATTCCCGAAAATAGCACATCAAAAATTTATTTTTTAGGAAATAATAATTGTACAGGAATCCACAAGGTGATGCCAAAATTGCAATGAATAACATAACCAAGCACAGCACTGCATCAGAGAAAACCATGACCAGACGCTTTGTTGAGAAAAAGCGATTACATTATCCGAGTGAGGTGCATATATACAGTATCAGGATAGAGGGTGCATTCATATAGGTGGAAAATATCACGAGACAAATATCGCCAAAGGCATTTTAGTGTGGTATAAAAGACTGGAGCAAGGGAGACCAAAGGTTAGATGAGCAAAGTTGAAAACCTGAAGATTGAGAAATAGGTGTCAGTGTCAGTGGAGGTGTGTTTTGGAAATTTGTTCAACATACACGAATAAATATTGTATTTGCATTTAACTTGGTTATTATAAATAAATATTACTTGATTCAAGGCCTAAAATAAGAAATTTATTAATCAACAATGTGTAACAACTGAAAACTTTCAATATAACTGCTGAAAATCTGATAAGTTTTGTTTGTTAAACACGTTCTGTCAACATGAATTTGCAAATAACAACAAAAAATGTAGTCATAACTTGTTGGACCAAGATTACCGAGCATTAAAAACTAAAAATGTAACCATAACTTACTGGATCTAAATCATCCAACCTTAGAAACTAGAAAATGTAATCATAACTTACTGGATCTAAATCATCCAACCTTAGAAACTAAAGAATGTAATCATAACTTGTTGGATCTAAATCACCCAATCTTAGAAACTAGAGAATGTAAAGTTTCTAAGGTTGGATGATTTATATCCAGTAAGTTATGGGGTTACATTCTCTAGTTTCTAAGGGTGGATGATTTAGATCCAGCAAGTTATGATTACATTCTTTTGATTTAGGTCCAGCAAGTTATGGTTACATTCTCTTGTTTCTAAGGTTGGGTGATTTAGATCCTACAATTTATGGTTTACATTTCTCTAGTTTCTAAGGTTGGATGATCCAACCTTAGAAAGTAGAGAATTATTTTATGAATAGCATGACTGGTCAATTCCATCTTAACATACAGGAGTGTATTTTAACAAAGTAAATTGGAATTAATTAAACTCGTACTTCAGTAGCTGCATATCCAGGGTATATCTCCACACCAAGTTCTTCTGCCTGGTGGCCAAGCCAGCGAACTAAATTGCCTAAACGTACGAGGTAGTTACCATGATTGTACATTGGAAGGCCTGAAAACGAAATATATACAGAGAGTGAATATGATGTAAACATTAAGTTTCACTAGATTTACCATCAGGTGGTAAACTTTGGTTAGAATAGTTTAAACTGTCATGTATTACATTATCAGGATGATATTACATCATTAAACAATAATGTAATACAAATCAACAATAGCTAATTTACAGTTCAAACTGTCATGTATTACATTATCAGGATGATATTACATCATTAAACAACAATGTAACAGAAACCAAAAACAACTAATAACAGTTCAAACTGTCATGTATTACATTATCAGGATGATATTACATCATTAAACAACAATGTAATACAAATCAACAATAGCTAATTAACAGTTCAAACTGTCATGTGTTACATTATCAGGATGATATTACATCATTAAACAATAATGTAATACAAACCAAAAACAACTAATTAACAGTTCAAACTGTCATGTGTTACATTATCAGGATGATATTACATCATTAAACAACAGAAATCAGCAATAGCTAAGTAAGAAAAACAAAAATTTGATTAAATACAAATATACATCTGTATATTTATTAATGTTAGGTTTTTTGATAAAGAGAGCATCTTTAACTTCTCTCTGATTATTATTTTCTTTGAAAATAATTTAACATCTAAATAATCAAAAAGAGTGATCAGTCTAACCACGTGTTCAAATACATGATTGGCAAGTTTCTTCACTGTACGAATCTGGTTCTGCCAGAGAGATATTAATTAAAGAGTCACTCAGCAATCTGGTTCTGACAGAGTGATATTAATTAAAGAAGTCACTCAGCAATCTGGTTCTGACAGAGTGATATTAATTAAAGAAGTCACTCAGCAATCTGGTTCTGACAGAGTAATGTTAATTAACCCTTTCCACACGAGTCAAAGACCACGTCATCACGTTTGTTGACTCGCATTCAAAATTTTATTGAACTTTTATGTATGTATGCCATTAAGGTTTCATATCAAACTGTGGATTATAATTAAAATTTTGGTATTATACGTTAGTTAATTTCTTAATTGAAAAGTAAATATTAAAAAAACACACACCTAAACATTGATTTTTGTTTATCTTGTGGTATGCTGAATTCAAATTAGATGTTTGTGATGTCAAAATACAAAGTATGTAGTTTTGTATAAATTAAGAACTCAAATTACCGATATTAATGAGCTAGAATATAAAATAAGAAAAACCTCCTATCTTTTCTATTTGGTGAGATATCGCTCATGTACTGAATCAAACACAGTGACACCCCACCTTCCTCTTTCCATTTTTGGAAACGCTCCCTTAATTCGTACACTTAATTCTGTCTATGACATGTGAATAACCAATTGAAAGCTCAGAATGTCCCCCTAGTGGCTTTCTCAGGCATTTTCAAGTGTTATCATGTCATCTCCTTCTTTGATACAAACCTTCAAGCTGGTAAGGTTAGTCTTTAGTCTACTCGAAATTTCATATTTTACAAGTGCTAGAAAGGTTAGGACTTGA